CACTAGTTTGTTATAATTATTAATACAAAGATCGAACACTCAGAAAATACACTAACTTCTTCATTATTTGCGGTTTTCACTATGTCAATTGTAGGAATTGCTGTTTTTGTCAATAGTCGAATCTTTTTGCCTTCAACAAAGCTGTCTCCATCGAAATGTATCGAACAAATGGTGCTAAATTTGGTTGGGAACCAATCTTTGTTTCCCGTCGCATCAATCCATTTTTCTTTCAAATTTGGGTCATGTGGAAAACTGAAAAAAAAAGAAACCTTATAACAAAATTTCTAAGGTCAATATTTTTCATAGCCCCGCACTAGGAAAACCCTGGGTCGTGCCATAGGCAACTACAAATTTCACCATAACTCACGAGAGAAATAAATGAAGACCATACAAATACTTGTCACTACCGAGACAGCCATTTATAGAAATAGAAACCATTTACTGCAACGCCACATTATAAAAAAAAAGACCAACATAACTAGAACAGAAATAACACAAAAAACAGCGTAAAACATTTAAACAACAAGTTACATAATACTCTACTGACATGTGTGCGGCTGTGGCGTGTACAAAAGGATCCCATGGTCCCAGGTTGTGACGCTGGTTTTCAATGGGCCCTAGCCGAGTGAGTGAGAGTGACGGACGTATGCGTCCAGAAGTCCAGAAACAACTCTCAATTTAAAATCCCTTTGTTTTAAAAATCGGACAGAATCGATAACCGTTTTGTTTAAAGTTGGACATCACTACAAGCATCCATTCTTTTCTTCCATACAATTAGGGCGCGAAGATGTAGGTATATACCTCAAGTACTATCACATATTTTTAAATAAAAAATTACGGCGAATGCGTAAAAAAATAAATAGAATTTATTAATTCCTTGCACCACTGAATATCATCGTTCGAACATATAAATAAATGACTGGCAACCCAAAATTATACATAGCAATGTCTATGCTTCAAATGGTAGATGTCCAGCTATCGGGATTATTTAAAAAATAGATCTAATCATCTTGCTTAACAACCATTACTTCTCTTATTATTTATTTATTACGAGTCCTTTATTATATTATTACAGTATCTAATAAGGTTAGCTAAAATACTACGTCTCAAGCTGTTAAACTATTTAAATGACACGGTCGAAACGTCAACGTCAGTCATAGACGTTTTTTTATTCCTGTTTTGTTTGGTGCTTCTTTTGAGTATTATTAATTGTGTTTTTAATGTATTCATCCATTGACTTACAAATAAATGGACGTCGGGTCCGCGCTAAAAAGTGTCCGAACTTGCAGGGCGTTAAAATCGTATACAGGGCGTCAATCACGCTTTAGTCTTCGTTTGTTCGACTGACAGCGCGCTTGTCAATGATGCCGTATTGTGTAGTAAAACCTTGTAAAAATTACTCAACTAAAGTGAAAAATCAGGGTGGTATATCATATTTCCAGTAAGTACTACATTGTGTTATCATAGTTATCATTTAAAAGTGTTATTTTATGCACTAGTATGCATCACTGATTTTTGGCTATTATTTAAGAACATTCTCTCGATCGCACCCGATTGTCAGCTACAATGAAAGCTGTCAAATTACGACAATGCACGTTTCGTCATTTATTCTCACAATTGTAGGATTACATTTTACAGCAATTTCTATTAAAATTGAAAAGATTTCTGTTAATGCATACTTCCCTACATAATTTTAGAAATTGTTTGACATAAGTGTAACCTTGGTACACAATTGGGCCTAAAAATGAAGGATCCTTTGTATGAAAATGATAAAAGCTGACAGTAAAAGAATGCATTATCTGAAAGTATTGCTTGTTCGATATTCATGGCCTATTAACAAAGGACCACAAATATACCGCATCAAACAAAAGCCGCAATGTATTACGAATCATCAGGCATACACTTGTTTGTATTTTTGTTTTGACGAAATTCACCACAAAACCAAAATAATTGTTTTTGTCTTCGTTTGTTCGACTGACAGCGAAGCAAGCAAAATTAGACAGTACTGCGATGACATTACAATTTAAATTCAACGTTTTAGCTTTTTCATATTCCTTTACATGTCACTACGCTTAAATAGGTTGACGAAAATAAATTACGCATTATCTGATTACGAAATGACTTACCGGTGAAACGAGACGTCCGTGTTTAGTCGTTTACTCGTATGTGTTGTGGTGTTTTTGCAGTTTGCGATGGCACAATTTGGCATTTTTCGCGTTTTTAACTGACGTCTATCCTCGATAACGGCCGGGCGCTTTCTGAAGCGTAGCAGCGGCAACTAAGCGTTTTTATAATATATTATTACATGCATTGCGCACGCGAAGTAGAGTACACAATGCTACCATCGGAAAAAGGGCACGACTGACATTTCTATCAAAAGTGAGTTTCATATACATATTAGCACTGCTAATACAATATTCTATTAACTCAAAAAGTCTATTTTTTCGGAATCAATGAAAAACGAATTACTCACTTCCCGTGAAAGATTATAAAAATGTAAATATAGGTCAAAGTTTATTACTGAAATTTATTTCCTACTTGCCAACTATATTTAAAAATAAAAGAGACCTGAGTCACGAGTGGACTGTTTTGTCCAGAACTAGCTACATAAGGTTTGTCTGATTTGGAGTTAAGTAGATATATTTTAATTGCTGTATTCTAACTACGGTTTTATTGACGTGGACAGAATAAAATTTTACATTCTGACATCTTCAATTTCACGTATTTTGAATAACAACACTATTGTAATAGCATTGCGAATGTATATTCGGAATCAGGGAAAAAAACGATCGACATTATAAAGGAAGTGTTTTTTTGAATTTGAAATAACTTTCTTGTTTTTAAATTGTAAATTCTACGAGTACTTTAATTCATGGACGTACTCCTCCGAAGAGAAGGTTTGGAAATTCGTAATTCAAAAATAAAACAACAAGCGACTCTCGAAATATGATTCCAATTTCAAATATTTATCGTATTCCAAAAATAACGCAATAAAAGACTCTGAATACGATTCCATCTTCAAACGTAGTCTAAAAATAAAACAACAAAACACTACCAAACTTGGTGCAATTTTCAAATTTCGTATTCCAAACTTAAAACAACAATAGACTATCGAATTTGCTTCGATTTTCAAATTTCGTATTCCAAAATTAAAACAACAATAGACTATCAAATTTGGTTCGGTTTTCAAATTTCGTATTCCAAACTTAAAACAACAATAGACTATCAAATTTGGTTCGATTTTCAAATTTCGTATACCACGAATAAAACAACAAAAATATGTCAAATATCCATGGCATTCGGTTAGGATTTTAATATAATAGACAATTATTAGAATAGAATAGAATAGTATTATTTATTTCGGACCATGAGGCATAATAATGTTAGTAATACAGTACATTTTTCTTACGTGCTATGGTTAGTACAATACAAAATTACTTAATTTTAGTGAAAAGAAGTGAAAGTCTATACCGCTACCTTACGCACGTGTAGTTGCACCCAATGTAGTTGGTAGGGGCAGTCCAGCCTATTGGCAACAACGGCTAGGATGCTATTAGCGCTTGCTTGCTATTATTGCTATTATTATTTTTTTAACCGACTTTTATAATACCAAGTGACGGAACGTAGAAGCCTGGTGATAGTGGAAATGTAAACATTACTGCGTTTCGGTTTGAGTGGTAAGGGTGCCGGTGAAATTACAGGCACATGGGACTTATCAACTTATGTCTCAGGGTCGTAGTGGTTCAGATCTTTGCGATTTAAAGCTCTTGAGTGGTACTGCAAGTGCTTTAGATAGACGTGTCGCTTACCACCAGTCACGACTTGTTTGTTCCGTCACTTGGCACCATAAAAAAAGTCTTCTTGGACTGTGTAAGTGCACCGCCTTAGATATTTTTATAGAAAGAAAGAAGAAAGAAAGAAACATTTATTCAGTACCTTTAAATTGTATGTACAGGGTCCGTCCCAAAAGTATCGAACATTTTTTTTGGGAGTGTTGCCGAACGGCGGGAAGCGCTCCGCTTGGCAACAGAAAGTGGTGGGGGGATCTAGCCGATACAGCGCGACCGGTCCCAGTTGGCTCCGAGCACCTGGAGCGGCAGGACGTGCGTTCGCGTAGAGCTCTAAACGACACCTCGTCGAAGTTTTTAAAAGTAGCGCGATGACGGATCCGTTAGAACAGAGGTACGCAGTGAAATTTTGTGTTCTACTCGGCAAAAATACTGTGGAAACCAACGAGATGATTAAACAGGCCTTCAAGGACAAAGCCTTGTCCGAATCCTCGGTCAGGAAGTGGCACAAGATGTTCCGTGACGGAAGGGAAGAGGTGACCGACGAAGCCCGCTCTGGTCGTCCTTCAACATCGCGGACCGACGAGAACGTTGACCGTGTGCGTCAGCTTCTCAACGAGGATCGTCGTCAAGGAGTGCGGTTGATAGCACAGACCCTCAACATCGCCAAGTCGACCGTGCATCGCATCGTGACCGAGGAGTTAAGGACATCCAAGAAGCTACGACGAGGGCGCTGAAGGACCTACCCGTTGACGTCTTCCAGGGGGCCTTCCGGGCATGGAAAACTCGCCTACAAAAGTGCATCGATGCTGAAGGGTGTTATTTTGAAGAGTACTAATGTATGGTACCGATAAGTTCAATAAAAGTATTTTTCCTGAAAAATGTTCGATACTTTTGGGACGGACCAGATACATAAAAATAAATTAAAACTAAAATTACTGATACTGAATGGGCACCGCTCAGCATTAACGCACTAAACTAATACTACAAAAACATTGACTTATTTAAATTCGCAATATGCGTACAAAGAATTTATGATGCGACAAAATGTGTGATGCTTAACTATATCTATACCTATTGTTAATTTATTTTTTTATTTATTTTTTATTTATTTATTTAGGTTCATCAACAATTGTTACATCGATACATTTACATTTTACATTGGTAAGAGTATTTAAACTAGATGCACAACTAATTAAAGATGAAACACAGCTTGCATTAAATTGAGCAGGATAGTCTTAATATTACATTATATCAATACCAGGTGAAAAGAATATACTACATATAAAGTTAAAATGAAAATTAAGAAGTTAATGTGTAGTGAAATTTGTTTTAACAATTAGTTTTAAAAATACAGTACATTTACGTGCCTAGGATTGCCTTACGAAGGACGGCCATCGAGTCCGAGAAAATATCGACTTTTGCACTATATTCGTTGTGCAGTCTGGACAGACGACAGACCGGTGAATTGAAACCCAATTTAGTTCTCCTGTGTGGTGGTGACAAAAGAGCAGTGATCTTTTTACGAGGGTATCGATGAGGAACGCTAAATTTAAACATTGTTGTGAGTTGTGGGCAGTCAATCCTGTGGTTGAATATTTTGTGAAGGAAGGCTAGGTCCAATAGATCCCTGCGCTTTTCGAGTGAAATCATTTTAAATTTTTTTAATCTCATTTTATAAGAGCGTAATCTTTTAGAAGCACCGGCCTTGAAAGTCAAATTATTAATGAAGCGTTTCTGTACCCTCTCTAGCCTAAGTGTGTGGGTTGCATAATGCGGACGCCACACTATAGATCCATACTCCAAGGTGCTACGAACAAAACTATTATATAATATTATTTTTGTAATAGGATTCTTGAAATTTCTGCTGTTGCGGAGAACAAAACCAAGAGTTTTAGTTGCCCTAAGTATAGCCTTATCAATTTGAGGTACAAAAGTAAGTTTGGAGTCTAATATAATACCCAAGTCCTTGATTGTGCCCACTCTTTGCAAACAAGTACTATCCACGTGGTATTGGTAGTCTACTTGGTTGAGGTTACGTGTATAGGTTATTTGGAAACACTTACTTGCATTAAGTTCCATGCCATTTGCTCTACACCAGCAATGAATTTTATCAATATCCATCTGAAGGGCCTCCGAATCGGCAGTACCATTGATTTCTTTAAGAATCTTGAGGTCATCAGCGAATAAATAGGGTGTTGAGTTACTTAATATCGCAGGAATGTCGTTAATAAATATGTTAAAAAATATTGGACCTAAATGCGAACCCTGAGGTACTCCGGACGTAATTTTGAAATAGTTAGACTTGAACCCATTCAACACCACACAGAAAGAACGATCACATAAGTATGACCAGCACCATCTAAGCATGGGTCCAGTGACACCACACGCGGACAGTTTGTCAATCAGTAATTTCTGTGGAACTCTATCGAAAGCCTTACTGAAATCCGTGTAGATTACGTCAACTTGTTTACCCACATCTACGGACGCTAACAGTTTCTCTACAAATGTCACCAGATTAGTTGTGGTTGATCTTGACCGCAAGAAGCCATGTTGATGATCGGTAGAATGTTTTTTCAAGAAATTTTGAAGAATGGGCACGACCAAAGCTTCGAAGATTTTTGCAAACGTACTCAGAATAGAAATCGGTCTATAATCACTAACCATTTTGTCATTGTTACCTTTGAAAATGGGAACAACCCTAGCAACTTTCCACTGTGTTGGAAAGATACCGGATTTTAGGGATTTGTTGTAAATAATCAATAGTGGAATTACTAAAAGAGAAGCACATTTTTTTATGAAAAAAGGGGGTATGTCGTCAGGCCCCGCTCCTTTACTGGAGTCTAAGGAGTTTAAATATTTTAGAAGTGAAGTTCTTTCTACTTCTAACACAGCAAGTGAATCGTTATTAAAAACAATCTGGGTCCATGCAGTCGATTCAAGTGTATTGTCAACATTTGGTAAATTCACCGAGTGCACTGATGCGAAAAAGGATGCGAACAAGTTACAAATTTCCTCTCCGTTCGAGACATTTTTGTTTGAATCTTCGTCCAACATTGACGTTGGGTAAGAACTCTTTCCATTCCTCTTATTTTTTATATGCGTCCAGAACGATTTGGGATTTTCTTTAATATTACATTCAATTTTACTAGTATAAGAGTTGTAACACGATAGAGCCAATTTCTCGCATCTTTTACTTAGCAACTTTAGGCTGAGTTCGTCCAAAGGATTATTGTATTTTCGAAATTTTAGTCGTAATCTATTCCTTTCCTTTAGACGCTTGATCAAATTATGTGAAAACCACGGCGGGTACTTGCGATTCTTAGGTGCGTGCAAGGGTACGAATTTTTTGATAATTAAGTTTAACTCAGAGTAGAAGATATCTACCATCACATCAACACAATTACTGTCACTGAACTTTTTGCTCCAGTCAATATTACTTAGATCTGTTTTGATAGAGTTATAGTCTGCTTTATAATAGTTATATCGAAGTTGAGTAGGATTGTCTTTCAACGTCTCACAGCCAGCGTGTGGTGTTAGGTCTATTTCAATCGGTGGATGGTAAGGGTCTAATTTGCTTAGGCAAGCAGGGCTGCCAACAACGCGACAACTGGTTGCATTGGTAAGTACCAAGTCTAATATTTTGTTGCTCTCATTTACCACAAAGTTACACTGTTCCAGACCGCACTCAGAACAAAATTCTACCAATGGTTGAGCATTCCGAGGTACAACATATGCGGAGTCACCGACCAGGCTCCAATTCAGGCAACCAAGATTAAAGTCACCGAGCAAACAATACAGTGATTCAACATTACGCCGATTAATAACGCGATAACAATTCTCAAGAAAATTATCTAATATAACTCTGTTTACAGGAGGTGGCAAATATACTGCGCATAGTGCAATTTGTTTAATAGCGTCAGAAATGTTTATATCAATCGTAACCCACAGATCCTCACAATTGCTTTCCCAGAATGCAACTCTAGAAGAATTGTGTTTTTTAAGGACAGCAATAAGCACGCCCCCACCATCTTTTTTGTTTGAGTAAGCAGAAACCCCTCTATCTCTCCTGTAAACAGCGTATCTAGTATCGAACAATTCCTCGTCTAGTACACCATCATTGAGCCAGGTTTCAGTTAAAACCATTATATCAAAAGCACTACACTGAACATTTGTATAAAAGTTGTTTGTTTTAGTGCGCAATCCTCTAACATTTTGATAATATATTTTGAACATTATGAATTTTAAAAAGGAAAAAAAACATTTTATTTATAATTAATTGATAATTAATTGATAATATTATGTTATGTATGCAAACACCATTCAACTATCAAACAAACTTAATTACATATAAAAAGAAAAGAAAAAACTATTTATTTCCTAACTATAAAGTTGGAACTGATTTCAAAAAGTATAACCGAATTAGGCCACATATACGTACAAAATCCATCAATCCAATCCATTTATCGACAGCAATCACTAGCTGCTTGTAAGTGGGCAACACTTTTGCGCAATGAACTTTCAATAAATAGTCAATCAGGCCGTGTGGTTCTTTAGGGGGCTTTATTATTATTATATTCGACGCGTGGCCAACAGGGAGTCCTACATGTTCCATAAAAAACCGAGCTCATGAATGAATAATAAACATGTTGGTTCGTTTCTACCTGCTTCCTTCAAACCAGTCACATTCCTGTTTAGGTTTTTTGCCTTCTGCATCCTGTCAGAACCACGACAGCTGATTACAAACAGCTGTGGCACATCGCGTCGGTGCTTCGTACACAGGGCGGAATTTTGAAAATGTTTTCAAGGGACCATGTTTTAGGTTTTAACGACTGTTTTTACGTCCTGTTTTAAAATTCAATTTAAGTTTTAATTAACTATAAGTTTCAAAGTTAAGGTATTATTGTTCTACGCAGTACAGTCGTTGCTTTTCATTGAAAACCAGCGGCACAGTCCTTTTGCGTACACCGCAGCTGAACAAATGACGGTACAAATTTGTAGTCGTTATTTATTTTGTTGATTGCTTGTTGTCTGTTTTGCATTACTTCGTTTTCTTATATTGTTTTCGAATTTTTTTATTTTGGTTTTTAATTCTTTCTATTTTGTTATTTGTCTAAGTATTATTAATCTCTTGCTTTTTATTTCTGTGTTGAAAAGTGCACCAAATGTAGTGTTTTGTTGTTTTATTTTTAGACTACGTTTGAAGATGTAATCGTATTCAAGAGTCTTTTATTGCGTTATTTTTGGAATACGATAAATATTTGAAATGGAATCATATTTCGAGAGTCGCTTGTTGTTTTATTTTTGTAATACTAATTTCCAAATCCTCTCTTCTGAGGAGAACGTCCATGAATTGAAGTACTCGTAGAATTTACTATTTCTATGCCAGAAAGGGAACGCAGAAGTTGTTATTATTCTAATGAGATTAATTTTAAAGTTTTGTTGTGCTCGTTATGTCACTGGTGTACATAAACGGTAGGTATATAAACATAAAATGTAGACATAGGTTCTGTACATAGCTTGTCACAGATAAAGTATTGTCGGTAAGATACGTTTTTAAGTGTTTTGTTGCACTACTCGTTACAGACGTTACATATAATACAGTCACGGCTTCCTCCTAGTGGGGTAGACAGAAACTTAGGATGTATCTCAGACATGTGGAAAGGTAGACCTTGGCTAGCATGTCTTTAAAAACCATTGAGGATATCCTGAAAAAAGTCCAGGCCCAGGTCCAGTA